AACAATTGCTTTATGCCGAATTGCCGGTATTTGAAAGTGAAAGTAAAATGCGCACGCAGCTTTTACAAGCTATTTAAAAGCGAAGGAAAGCGAGAAAAAGAGGGAACGCCCCCGCCCCCACGGTGATACCGGTATTACCGGTGTTGTCACACGTCGATTAACCGGTGGGAAAATTTCCTCACCGTCACAACCCTACTAGAATGTTTTATTTTTGTATAATGTCTGCGCTATTTCTCTCCAGAAGTTAGAAACAATAAAAATGTATTTATATGTGTTTTAAGCTAGAGTTGTGTATGTCCAAAAATATATTCATCTTGGGCCCGAATTAAGAATTCGTTACCATGAATTAAGAATTCATCCCCTCATTTTATTAATTTGTTCCCAAGTTTTTGTTAAATCGCGGCCATGAATTAAGAGAACGAAAGGGAACGAATTAGTACAATGTGTCCATGATTTACTAAAACAAGGGAATTAATTCTTAAATCACGGCCATGATTTAACTAAAACGAGGGGAGAATGAGAATGGCCATGAAATGTATAGTTTTTATCTCTCATGTCATGCACATAGGGATCTATTGTTGTTGAATTTACAGTAGTTTGTTGTTGTTCTCTCAACAAACAGAATGTTTTTTTTGTTGTTCTCTCAAAAAAACAGTTTGTTTATCTGCAATCCTAGCCCTTTAGGTTTCTCTTTTTAAATGACGAAGACACACTACTGCCCCCTGCTGGTATGGAGAGTTATCTTTGATGTTCTTTTGGCGTCTCGTAGTTTGTTTAATTACTTGAATGCAACAAAAGAGACCTCTGAGATAATTTCCATTAGCACCCAAATGATTCACCTTACCACAATGACTAAACTACATTTCTTATTTAACTACCACTATTGTATCTGTGGGCGGGGCCAGTTACTTTGACTGACAGGCGATGTGATAAAACCCTGACCCAGAAAATAAACTGAGACTGCAGGTGAAAATGAAGAGGTGTTGTGTGTGTGGTTCTGTGGGATAGACATTTTATCGCAGTCCCTGGAGTCTGACGGCCCTCATGCACTCAAACCGTATGTCTCATGACTCACATATTAGCAGTCTGACTATTTCCATCCATATTATAACTATTAATCTAAACTACAGCACTAGAGACCAACAGATGACAGCACAGCATACATGAATCTAAACAAACAGCTGCACAGACAGACAAATGGGACAGATTCACAGACATTGTCAACATGCATATCCCCTTAATGGCATTCAACTGAGTGTAAATGTCTGAAAATACTACTGTGATTGTATTTAATTATATGAATCTGTTGCCCCATTAAGCAGCTTCAATGTACAGTAGTTATCTACTTTTTGTTAGCGTTTAGCATAGCTTCAGTGCAGTTAAATGGAGCAGCTTGTAGCTTAGCAAGCTAACGCTTCGAAGAAGATTCCTGAACAAATAACAGCTTGCAGCACAAAATCAAACTACAGACATTTGGAATCTATAAAGCTTCGACACAACACAGCAGCATACTAACAAACAGGCTGAGATCAAACGTACTTTTCTTGTTGGGTAAAAGAACTGAAAAACAAGAAGGTTTCTAAATTAATTCGGAGCATGGATAACAAGGCTGGCATTTACTTATCCTTGACTTTACAGTTCATACGCCACTAATTTTGTTTGTATCACTGCATTTTCCCATTATAATGACACTAGAACCACGAGACGTCTGACAGACCAGAGTCACAAAACGTTACGCTAACAATTCACTGAGAAACAAGGCGAATATCATACGATTAGCCTGGGTAGAAATATCACCCACTGAGAAGAGCTGACAGTTAATAAAGTATCATCACCCAGGGGTATCGTGTTAAATCAAGCTATAATTACAAGTCTTCTCTGAGGAGGGAATGTTTGGTCTGACTAAGTCAGGGCATCTGTGCGTTCGCCTCCTGATTCGTTTGGATCAGACTGAAGCCATCCTGACCGCAGTTTTGTTTTAATTAACGTTCCCCTCCAGCATCCAGGCTTAAGGGGAGACCGTCCCACTCATCCTGCGAGTCAGAAGACATGGAGTCTCTCACCGTCTGTTTGAGACTTGCTGAGAAAGATGGTGCTGGCGCGCGGGTGGTCCGCAGGATTGTACTCCATGTTGAGCTCTGAGGAGAGAAAAAGAGAAAGAAGATTTATTATTCAAGACTGAGGCTTGAGTTCCTCCAAGTATTACTAGAACATCCCAAAAAATAATAATATATTTCTGACAGGATGATGGGAAAGATTTAGTCAGACAAGCCACAACACGCAGTGGTTGTAACGTACACACAACATTGAAATACAGAGATATATGAAATGATTAGATGTAGCAAAATTCTGACTTTGTCGAGAACAGTGTAATTTATATACTATCACAGTATTTATTATTATTTTGATTAACCTTCCATATTTTCGTTCATTGATTCATTGATTTTAATTTAAGCTTTAATTTTATGTGATTTTGTATTTTTTTTAAAAATATTTTTATTTAGCTTTATTTTTTTATTTCAGATTTAGTAATTTCAGTACTTCAACTTAAAATTATTTTAATTTCAGTTGATTGACAAAGCAAGAATCTAACTATTCAATCTAATACAACTATATCATTTATTTTATTACAGCTTTTTTTTTTTAATTACAACAGCTGATTTTAGCTTTAGAATGGAATACTATTGCATAATAAAAGTATGTGTGTTTATATATATATATATATATATATATATATATATATATGTATATTTCTG